TCTGGGGACCTTGATCTCTGGGCTTGGGCACCTGGAACCCCTTGGACTTTGTTGCACAGAAATGGGGTGGAGGCACACGGAAAAAGTAATATTTGCCTAGGCTTTCATGAAAAGCAGGCAGAAGGAAACAGAAACGTCACAGTGGTTTTTAAGCCTGGGACAAAAGCACCTGACTCATCTTAGAGCCGCTCCTCTCCGGGCCGTGGTGCCAGCTGAACCTGCTCCCTGAGGAGAAGGCTCTGCCATCCTGGGTCTAGCTAGGATGCTGTGGGACCCCACAGGCAATCATCTAAACGCCGTGGCTGACACTGGTTTATCTCTCCCCCTCCCCTCTGGGCTTGCAGGAGGGAAGATACTCGGGGTGCTGGTGCTGTTTCTGGTGATGGTTTGGTACTCGATCTACCGGGAAGACAGGTACACACAGCTGTGAGTGCTTCTTACTCAAATTTAAAGGACCTCCTGCCCTTTTCCTTACTCCTGGGAGGCAGCTGCTTCCTGCCCATCCCTCACAGGGATGCCAGAGCATGGCAGATTCCCTGGATCCGAGGGGACAGGGGAGCTGGCAGCATCCTTGGCTGCTGCTGGAGAATGGGGGACACAAACGAGGCTCCCCCTTGGTGTGTGGTGGTGGTTGGGCTCTGTGGGGTTTTTTGCAAATGCTGGTGCTTTTCTGAGCCCGGGAGTCTGGGAAAGCCCTGCTCTCTTCTTCCCTGACAGAGATGGGGAAAGTGGAGTGTGAGGTTCATGAGCAGAGCAAGAGAGACCTCTTCTGATGCAAGGCTGCAAGCCCAGCAGAGAAATGCCCATGCAGTGCCGGCCTTAAATCCAGCTGGAAATCTCTCTCACAGCTTGAATCCCGCAGTGGGGATGCCTGGGGATGCCAGAGCCCCTTTCGCCAGGAGGGGGCTGCAGAGGAACAGGCATAATTTGATTTAATTAACCTCTTCCTTTACAGCTTTTATTTCCCTGTGCAAGAAAACAACAAGACAACGTGTCCCCTTGGGGAGGTGGAAAAGAAAGCGGCGCAGCTCATCGGGAAGTGAGTTTTGGGGCTGGGAGCAGGCAGTGGGGGGATGCAGAGCCAGGACCCCCCTCCCTGTGCTATCCCTGATCCCAGTCTCACTGACCCTTTGCTCCTTGGCAGCTACACGAGGGACCACCCACTGTTCTTGCAGCTGAAGGACTATTTTTGGGTGAAGACGCCGTCGCTCTACGAGCTGCCCTACGGCACCAAGGGAAGTGGTAAGCGTGACAATGCTCTGTGGGATCTGTCTGTCCATCCTGCTGCTGCTCCTGGGGTTTCAACTTCCCTTTTCCTAAAGACATCTGCAGGTTGATTTTGTTGGGGACTTTTCCCAAGCTATTTTATTGGTTTTTAGACTCTGCAGTGCCTATTTCCTCACCCTGGGTGCACATGGTGCCTCTGAAAGAGTTTAGGGTGGGCCAGGTTTTACTAAGCCCCAGAGACAGATTATTTGCTTGAAATTGGGATTAACAGTAGGAGCAAATTTGGCAGGGATGGGGCAGCACTCAGAGTGTTGTACCAGGCAGGAGCTGCCTTCCTCACCTTCCTCACCCTGTCTTTGCCCTTGCTTTGCAGAAGACGTCCTGCTACGCCTGCTGTCCATCACCCACTACTCCCTGCCCGAGAGCATCCAGAGGTAACACTGGGGTGGGTTTAGGGGCTTTTCTCTCTTTTGCTTCATCATTGCTCTCTTGGGGGTGGTTGCAATTTGTCTGTTGTGGGTCCAGGATTTGGCAAAATGAACCTCTGCAACCCAGGGTTGGTGGATGGAGCATGGGAAGGTTTGGAGACTGGACAACACCAGGTTTAACCCCCCAGGGGTTAAAATCACCCCAGTTTTGGAGCAGGTCTGGTTGAAACAGGGTTCTCTCTCGCAGCCTCAAGTGCCGGAGGTGTGCCGTGGTGGGCAACGGCCACCGGCTCCGCAACAGCTCCATGGGGGACACCATCAACACCTACGATGTCGTGATCAGGTACAGCCCCGGCCCGGCCCACCGCTCCCTCCCCAGTGCCACCGCAGCTGGGGTGACACCTGTGATGTCCCAAAGGCTGAACAACGCCCCGGTGCATGGTTATGAGCAGGACGTGGGCTCCAAGACCACCATGCGCCTCTTCTACCCGGAGTCAGCCCACTTCGACCCCCGGACTGAGAACAACCCCGATACACTGCTGGTGCTCGTGCCCTTCAAGCCCATGGACTTCCAGTGGATGGAGGCCATCCTTAACGACAAGAAGAGGGTGAGTGTGGTGGGGAACCAGGTCCAGCCCAGCCCTGGCTGCTCCAGACTCCAGCTGTCATGCCACCCCACCCTTGGGGACATCTGGGCTCTTGCAGGTTCGGAAAGGGTTTTGGAAACAGCCCCCACTGATCTGGGATGCCAACCCGGAGCAAGTGCGCGTCCTCAATCCCTACTACATGGAAGTAACTGCTGCTAAACTGCTCAACCTCCCCATGAAGCAACCGCGGAAGATCAAACAGGTAAAGGGTGGGGATGGCCAGTCACCCTGCACACCCTGAGGGGGGACAGCCTGTCCCTGTGCAGCTCCCTGAAGGCTGTGGCTCTCTGTCCCCCAGAAGCCCACCACAGGGCTGCTGGCCATCACCTTGGCACTGCACTTCTGTGACCTGGTGCACATCGCGGGCTTTGGCTACCCCGATTCGGCCAACAAGAAGCAAACCATCCACTACTATGAACAGATCACGCTCAAGTCCATGGCCGTAAGTGTTTGCCCCACAGTTTTGTCTCTGCTTCCCCCACTTTTCCCCCAGGACGGGGGATGGCAGCCCAGGGGAGCAGTGCCAGGATGCTGAACGGTGTGGGAGGCTCTTCCCTCTCACTCCCCTCCCATGATGAAGGTTGAAGTCCACTGTTGGATGGTCATCATCCAACTTCTCTTGGTAGTTGAATGTCTTTGGAGGCACAGAGAGTTGGATCCATTCCCAGTTTATGTGTGAGGAGAAGAGCTCGTGGACAGGGGGATTGGGTGGGGAGGGGTCCGTCCCTGCTTTTGGGGGGCTGAAGTCCCTTCTGGTGGGGTGGACACAGTGGAGGGTGGGAAGGTGTGAGGGCTGGAAGGAAAGCGTGTGGCCCCTGCTCACCAGACTCTGGTGTCACCCCCTGCTCCCTGTCCTGCAGGCGTCGGAACACAACGTGTCCCACGAGGCCGTGGCCATCAAGCGGATGCTGGAGCTGGGACTCGTCAGGAACCTCACCTACTTCTGAGGGCAGCAGGGCCGTGCAGGGACACCGTCCCCAGGGCGAGGGGACACCGTCCCCAGGGCGAGGGGACACCGTCCTGTGCAGTGAGGGGACACTGCGCTGGCAAGGCCAGAGTGACCGAGGGCAGAGCATCGCTGTCACCGCTGCCACCACGACCGGGGACTCCTGGAGCAGGGCCGGGGCTGGGGGCCGCGCTGGACCGCGGGTGCCCAGGGTGGGGCAGCTCTTGGGGGTGCAGGGAGCCCGGCGGGGCCGTGGCCCAGCGCCTTTTCTACTGACGCACTGAAGCTACCGAGGACTTGGAGGGGGTTTTTGGGGTAGGGGGTCCTCCCTCCCAGCGGGCCTGAGGGGGTGAGCCAGGGCAGGAGCCTTTGCCCTGGACATTCTCTTTCCCTTAATTCCCTCATACACTGACGAGGGCCCTGCTGAGGGGCTGATTTTGGGGTCCTGGCCCCTCCCCGCCCAGGGAATGGGAGTCTTTGGAGGCTGATGTTGCCTCCTCCCTGCCCTGGACCTCCCCCCAAATATTTAATTCCCTCCCTTTTTTTTTAATTTCCTTTTTTACTTGGCGGCCCTGTCCTGTGCCTTAGCGCTGGCGTAGGGACTCGTCCCCACAGCCCCCCTGGGTGGGGGCACCCTGGGGTGCTTGGCTTCAGGGTCTGCCAGGGCCCTTTGGTGGTGCAGATTAATTTAATTAATTTAAATGCTTATTTATGGTGGAGCCATCACCCAGGGCCCGCATGCCACTGGTGTCAGGGACAAGGGGCCTCGGGTGGGCTGGTGTTTGCTTGGCTCCAGGGGTGGGCATTTGGGATGTCCCCCCACCATGGAGGGGTTGACTGGTGCCTTTTCCCTGCTGCTGTAGGGTCCCCTCTGCCCCCGTGGGGCTGCAGGTGTTGGGGGGACCCATGGATGGGGGTGTTGGGGCTCATGCTGGCACCCAATAAAGTCCTGGTGAGGCTGGGATGGGCTGGGTGCTCCTGGGGCATGGTGGGGGGTTGTGAGGAAGTTTTGGGGCTGTGAGATGCAGGGAGGGTAGCCTGTGCCCATGCCCTTGTGTCCCCACATCCCCTTACCTGTTGTGACGCCCCATCTCCTGGCTCCCACGCTGGGGTTGTGGGGTGCCCCAGCTGCCCCGTGCCTCAGTTTCCCTCCACCACCGGCCATTTCTGCCCCCATGGGGCCTGCCCCAAGATGCCACGGCACACCCAGGCCAGGTGTGTGCCGGGGCAGAGTGCCAGGGAAGCCGATGTCCCCGCGGGGTGGCCATCAGCCCAGGCGTGCCACGAGAAACACCTCTTGTATTGACCGCGGTGCCGCGATACAGCGTGGAGAGGCCCTTCCCGGGGAGTCCCTGTCCCGCCGCCGTCCCCCACCTCCTGTCCCCCATGGCGGGACCCCCCGACCCCCCGACACGGACTCTATAAGTATGGACACCGAACACCACGAAGGAAAGGGAGGAGCCGGGGGGGAGAGGGCAGCGGGGAGCGGAGGCGAGCGGCTGGGGGCGCGGGGGTGCGCGGTGGGGCCAGGGCCGTCCCCAGCCCCGCGGGGGGAACGGCTCCCCGGGGCTCAGCGCGTCCTCGGCGGGGTTGTGCTTAGCATGTGCCAGGGAGAGGGGATGCTCGGCCGGTCCCCTGCCCCGCAGCCCCGCTCCGGGGGGCTGGATCCGGCTCTTCCCACGGCCGCTGCCGGCGGGCGCCACTGTCCGAGCGCGGAGCCCACGCGGAGGGTCCCGAGCGTCCCGGGGGGGCTCAAACGTGCGTCTGCATCCGCCTCTGCAGGGGCCGGCTGGGGTCTGAGTTTTGGGAAGACGACTGGGAGTGGTGGGAGGAGGATGCGGAGGCCTTGCTGGCCTTGTCGAACTGCACGTAGCCGTCCTGCTTGCCGCTGCTGCTGATGCTGCTGTCGCACTGGGTGTCGAGGAAGGAGCTGCTGTCGCTCATGGAGCCGCGCTGGAACTCGCGCTCGCACAGCTCGATGGAGCTGCTGCCCATGCCCAGCACGAAGCGCTGGCTGTAGTCGTAGAGGCGGCTCTGCCCGCTCAGGGTGCTGTAGATGTTGGTGAAGGACATGCCCGTGGGCACCCGCTGCTTGCCGGCCGGGCGCAGGTCAGCCGGGCAGCCCGACAGCGAGATGGTGGGGGTGGAGTGGTGCTCCTTGAAGGTGTTCACGCTGTAGTAGCCGTTGGTGGGGTCCTGGGCAGTGGGAGAAGCGGGGCAGGTTGGTTGTGGCATCCCTGGTACCGTGGCATTTGGGGTGCCCGCCCTGCCCATCCACCCAGGACATGTGAGACTTATCAGAATCATGGAATATGCTGAGCTGGAAGAGACCCACAAGGACCATCCAGTCCAACTCCTGGCCCTGCACAGACCCCCCAACAATCCCACCCTGTGCCTTAGAGCATTGTCCAAACATTCCTGGAGCTCTGGCAGCCTCAGGGCCGTGCCCATTCCCTGGGGAGCCTGGGCAGTGCCAGCACCCTCTGGGGGAAGAACCTTTGCCTGATATCAAACTTAACCCTGCCCTGGTACAGCTCCAGCTGCTCTCTCAGGTCCTGTTGCTGGTCACAGAGAGCAGAGATTAGAGCTGTCCCTCAGGAAGAAGCTGCAGACCCTCATGAGTCTCCCCTTGGTCTCCTCCTCAGCCACTCCTCATATGAACCCTCCAGACCCTTCCCCATTTTCATAGCCCCCCTTTGGAGGACACCTCAATGACCAAACCGTCCAGCAATGTCCTCTTGTGCCACCAGTGTATTCCAATCTGTTCAGCCCCCTCCAGGCCAGGACACAAGTGTCCCTTGCACGCCACTGTCCTGGCACCACACCTTCGTGTTAGCCCTAAAAGCTGCTGGGCCCACAAAACAGTGCCAGCACGCCAGAGCCTCTCTCCCTGCACAGGGACAGCCCTCTGGGACAGGCCACCACCAGGGACATGGCCCAAGGACAGACAGCTGGCAGCAGCAGTGCTGGGTGAGGCATGAGCTCGTTCTGCCCGGTGGTGGGCACAGGGAGGGGATCCCAGCACCCCGGCGTGCAGCCCCTCTGCCAGGAGGGCCGGGGGACCCCAGGATCCAACTCACCTTCAGGTTTTGAAACTCCTTCTCCTCCTCCTTGAGCACCTCGAGCTGCTTCAGCACCGAGTCCTGCTGGAACTCCCCCCGGTCCATCTAGGAAAGGACACAGGCAGGGTGAGCATCCCAGCACCGCCTGACCCCGCGCTCCCCATCGCCCCCAGGCCACGTGGGCCGAGCCCCTCATCCATCATCAGCCCCAGGGCACTGGGAAGTTGCCACCAGCTCGATTCAAGGAATTGCCCAGGGGGTCCCAGCAGTGTCCGAGGGCGGATTCCCAAAAGCCACACAATTCCCTGGGTTACAGATTGTTTTTCCCTGTTTAGGACAGAAAATGGCAGGCTGGTGCAGAAAACGAATTATTTACCGTGATGAGGGCTGGGGCTGCACCCTCCTGCCCAAAGCAACACCCTCAAAATCGCCTGTTTTTTTTTTTTGTTTCCCTTCTTTTCATCCTTTCCTCCTCAGCTGAACTTGGCCGCCTCATTAGTTTTTCTTTGAAGGCTGGCTGTGATAGGGGGGAGGCGGAGAGGAGGGGCAAGGTGCACATTAATTACACCACAGCTTTAATTACCCTTCCTTCAGCACGCGGGGCTGTGCAGGAAGCAGGATAATTACCAACCAATTTCTCAGTTGCCTTTTTTTAGCTTCTGTATTCACCGGACGCCTCCAGCCCGGCTTCTCTGGGATCACAGCCCCACATCAGCCCCAAAATCCCCTTTTATTGCCCAAATTCTCTCCTCTTTAAGATGGTAAGTGGCTGTGGAAATTCACCCCGCGGCACTTGCTGTTCATCTCCCGAAAGCCTTTGATGTGGCTGTTAAAGGCAATAAATTAAAGTACCTGAGTTTTCCTAGGGAAAAGAAAGCCTGTATCAGCCATTGATTTACCAGGATAAATACAAGTGTCGCCGAGGATTAAACGAGTGCAGCTAAAATGGGACGTGGAGAGTTTTTTTTGCTCTGCCAGCCCCGGCGACCCCTTCGATCCTCTAAAGCATCTCTGCAAAGGCAGACTGGGGCTGTTAACCCTTCGGAAGGGTTTAACAGATCCCAGCTCTGAATGAAAAGGGAAAATCACAGGAAAAAAACCTTTCCCCCCTTGTTTTTTTTTTTTTTTTTTTTTTTTTTTTTTTTTTTTTTTTTGTGTTGGCGTGGATGACGCAGGGCCAGATCCAGAGATGGAGAGGAGAGAAGGGAGGTGGGAACCAAAGGAACAATCCCACTGTGACCAAACCTCCCTGGAATTAATATCGGGTTTGATGGGATGTTAGAAGCCATTTTATTTAAGCCATTTATTTTATTTAAGCCATTGAAGTGATGGTGGGAATGATCCAGGTACTGGGATGCTCCCTGAGCTCCGTGGGGACCCTGCCTGTCCCCGAAGCTCTGAATTGGGCTGCACCCCGTGGATTTGGGGACTGCAGGGAGTCTCCACATGAGGTCCACAAGGCGCCATCACATCACCGAACCTCCAACTCCCCCATTAGAGCCGGTCATTAACGTCAACTTTATTAAAGTTTTACACCGTTAATTAGTGGGCGGTAGGATCCTCGTTAGCGTGATTTCCTCTTTGTCATCACTGAGTCAACACCGGGAAGGGACCGACCTTAACTCAAGTTCACTCCATCACCAATATTAACGGGGATTATAAAGGGGGAGAGGGAAATAGATGGAAAAAGAGACCAGAGATGTCTGAGTGCCCTGGCATGGGATGCCCCAGCGTCATTCCTGGAAGTTTTTCCAGAGCCATCCTTTCTGCAGCCAGGAGACAGCACCAATATGCTCCGAGCCGTGCAGATGGCTGGGGATCCACCCGCCTGTCAGAGCCACGTGCCCACCATTCCCTCCTGCCAGGACTTCATCCTGCCTGGCACTGCCAGGCGCCAGCAGCCCTCCCCATCCCCAGAACAGCGGGGCACCGCAGGTGGGGTGCCGAGTCCTGCCCATTCCCAAACCCCGCCGCTGCCTCCTGGATCAGCGTGGCTGAGGGATGTGACAAACCGCATCCCTGCATCCCTGACCGCCACTGCCTCGGTTTCCCCTCTGCAGAAGGCAGGGACCCTCTCCAGGTCCTGAAGCATCACCCCAGGCCGGCAGTGCCGGCTCCCCCGGCCCGGGAGCGCCTTCCCAGGGTCCCTGAGCGCCGCGGAACGCCGGCTGGGAGCAGCGGGCAGTGCCGTGCCCCCCGCTCCGCTCTGCCAGTGCGGAGCTCTCCCGCGTTTCACGCCACCAAATGAAGCCCCTGAGATGGAGAATCCGACAGGATATTAAATTCTTGGCTTTCATTAGTGGACACAATATGTTTTTGAAAATGCTGCTTCAGGTTCCTGAGTATCCTCCAGACCCGGCGGGCTCGCAGTGCCTCCCCCCGCCTCGCTCCACGTTTAATTGCAATATTTCCGGCTGGTTGGGTAATTGGACGCCACCCGGCAGCACTTGTGCGGGCCAGACGTTACCAGGGTGAGGATGTTGGTGACGATTCTCGAACAGCGACTTCCTCTGCTCCCAGGGATGGAACAAGCCCACGAATAAAAAACCCCTCTGGGAATTCCCAACTCGATGAAGCTTTATCACCTTCAAACAGCGGCTCTGGCCCCGGTCGCCCAGCGATGTCAGCTCCCGCTGGTGTAGGTGCCCACCACCGGAGAAGCTGCCCGCCTTGTCCCACTTCTCCCCAGAATCCTGCTTTGGCATGGGCTGGTGCCGCTGGAGGGGCCGGCTGTGAGGGAGGGATGTTCCCCGAGCCTCCCGGGCGAGGCTGGATGTTGTGGAGCCCGGCTCCAGTTCAGTCCCGGTCTGACAGCTCAGGGCTGCCGGTGCTTCCCAGGGCGGCCACGGGGCACATGGAACACGTCCGAGCCCGCGGGCAGGGGCAAGGCAGAGAAAGGGGCAGAGAAAGGGATGCTGTGTCCGCTGGGCTGCAGGTAGGAAGGAGCCTCGCCCAGAATGGAAATTCTGCTTCTTTGATTTTTCCTCTTCCATCTGTCTGGAAAAGGTGTCTGGCGCTGATCACCTGTAAAAGCTGTGAACAAACTAGAAATAGCCCTTGGAACAGAGGGATGGGTTAAAGGACACAGGAAAAAATAAACCTATCACTGGATTGATTATTTTGACTGTCCCACTCCAAATATGAACCACAGGTGATGTCTGGATCTGCCTGGCCACAGTGGGGCATGAATGATCCAGAAGGGATGAATGATGCAGGGAAGGAGACCTCTGGGATGCCCCTGCCTGCTGTCACTTTGGGATCGTCTCTGACTGCTCATGGCAGCGGGGATGGCTCCTTTGGGATTATCAGCCCCATTTCACAGCGGGGGAGGCACGGGGTCCGATCAGCCAGGAATAAACCCAGCCGTGGTAAGGGAGGAGGAGGCTGTTCCACGCCGGGGCTGCCCATGCTCTTCATCTCCCTCCTCACAGCCCGCAGCTGCCGTGCCCATGCAATGCGTCCCGCAGGAGGGACAATGCGGCTGTTGCGGTTTATTTTCCCCAGGATCAAACCCTTTACCAGGCTCTTTTGCCTGCAGCCACTCGAGCTGGCAGCCTTTTCCCTGCCCGTAGGCACTGCCTGGCAGAACAGCTCTCGGAGCAGGGGGTGGGAACGCCGCTGAGGCAATGTGAACATATGCAAATCAGCCAGCGTGACGCGTATCCTAAGGTGTTAATGAGTTTATAGACGCATGAATAATGACTTGTGAAAAGCACGGTGAGCTGCCGAGGTCACAGATGGCTGGAGAATGACAAAACAGCGTTTGTGGGGACGGAGAGTCACGCCGGCACCCTGCGGCCAGGATGCTCCGGCAGAGCGGGACGCGGGGAAACAGCGCACAAAGGCACATCCAGGGGCTGAGGATCCTGAAATTCAGCAGGAGCAGGTCAGGCTGTGCTGGAGTCACGGGCTCGGCCGAGAGGCCGGGGTTAGGATGGAGAGCAGCGAGGAGCTGTTTGCCAGCGTGGCTGCTCCTCGTTAACATCCACACTAATGATCCCGAGCCCCGAGCGTGGCAATGACAGTCACAGCTGCTATTGAACTGCGGGGCGAGATGAACACTGCTGAGGGTGAGGAGATCATCTCAAGGGATGGAGATCTCACAGGACGCTCGGAGAAGACAAATAGGGAAGCAGAGGGAGTAATGCTGGCACTGGGAGGAGGGAGAACTGGAAAATCCCGGGGTGAGGGGAGGGAGGTGCTGGGCACTGCCCTCCTCCTCCTGCTAAAGAGTCTCATTGCTCCTCATCAGCAAGGGGAAGTTTTTAACTTGATCCTTCATTTCATTGACAAAGTTGGGACATATTATCAGGGACTATTTGGCTTCCAAGGCTGGTGCCTGATGGCCAGAGGAGGATGCCCACACCAGCTGCTGGACACAGCAAAGGTGTGGATGAAGGACAGAGGGGGGTCCTGCAGACTCTGTGGAGAGAAGGAATTGGGGAATATTTCCTGGGAACGTGCTTGCTGAGGGCAGGTGAGGGTGGGGAGGCTCTGATCCAGGCAGGGAGGGGGCTTTGAAGCCTTCTCCCTGCAGGTAGGATGTCCCAGCTGTCCCAAACCCTGCCAGCACCAGGGTCAGAGATCATGGACCATCTCTTCCAGCTCCTGAATGGCGCTGATCCAATGATGTCATTTTCAACTGCTGTATTTTCAGGAAAAATGTCTGGATTTGGCCAAGAAAGGGGAAGAATTGCCCTCTTTCAGTCCAGCCAGGCTGTGAGTCTCTGTTGTGTCACATCTGAAAGTGCTCAGCTTTAGTGTGAACCCTGCTCACACCTACACAGTTCCATTGTGCTGTGACCAAACCACCTCTCACCAGTCTGGCTGATAAACCAGAAGAGCTCCAAACCTCTCCCTGTAAGGCATTTTTTCCCAGCTCTCAAACAAATATTGTAATTTTTTCTGCACCATTTCCACCCTGCCAGAATCCTCATTGCAATGTGCCCGGCACAGCTCCGCTCCCAGCCTCACCAAGGCACAAGCTGATGTGAAATCACCCCCTGGCTCCTGCAAATAACCTAAGAAAGTTCCCAGGATGGCTTTCCAAGATCCTGTGCTTGAGCTCCCACCACCATCCTCTTCCTTGTTCACTCAGAGTGGTAAATGTTCTCTTCTGCTGAGGCTTTGTGTGTGCTTCCAGCCTGGTCTGGAGTGGGATTTGGGATGATCCCAGATGCCCCTGTGGGAGCCAGATCTGGGCTTGGCACTGCTGATCACACAGATCATGTACAGGGTCCCATGTAGAGAAAACTTCTCATTTCCCTTCATCCCAGCAGATTGCTCCAAACCCAAGCCCAGCCTCCTCTGCCCTTCCAGCCTTGCAAATCCCACCATGGACTTGCAGATTTCTCAGGGCAAAGCCCTGCTGGGAATGAAGGTTCTTTGCACAGGAACCTCAGTGATGCTGGGATAAGTTGCCAGATCTCCACCTCCTCCCTCCTCATTGTTTGGAGGCTGTCTGGGTGTCTAAATACTCTGGCAATCCTGACAATTTCAGCAAGCAATTCCACCCACTCTACGATGATCAGCCTTTCCTTCCCACCAGGCATTCCTGGAACAGCTTTTGCAGGCAGGACATACAAGTGCTGCCCAAAAAATTGAGATTTAGAGGAGGAAAAAATCACCCAGTAGCCTAGAAAGCAGCCACTGGCTTCTTCAATCCCTTTCCCCTTTCCCATCTGCTCTTTTATCTCCTTTTCTTTTTCAGGATTCTTTGCCATTTTTCAGCTTCTATTTGCCACCAGCAGTGGAAGCCAAAGCAAACTGGGGCTGAGCCACAGAGAGCAGTGACCACAGCACAGAGTGGTGAGGATGCACCAGCGTCAGGGCGCAAGCTGCGCTTCCCGGATCTCAGCCATCCACCTCGTGCCCTGCCCGTGTCCGCCGGTCCCCTCGGGTGAAGGCAGTGGCCTCGGGAAGGTGACAGCTCCCCGGTGTTGCAGACCCAGTGCAGGCTGGCCCCACAGCCGGTGCTCCGGAGCGCATCCAGCCCCGTGCGCGCCCTCGGCGCTGCCCGCAGGAGCCTCCGGGCGCAGCCCTCGCTGGGAACCGAGCTCGGTGTCACCTCGTGCTCGCCCCTTGTGTGTCTCCCTGCCCCTCTGCAGCTTTCCAGGTGTGAGGCGGCAAATTTGCTTCGCAATTAGCCCGGCGGGCAGATGGGCCGCTGCAATAAACCCCTAGCAGCTCTCCCTCCTCATTAGCCAAGTTTCACTCGAGGAGTTTTTATGGCAAGAGAATGCGGATCTCGAGAGCAGGGTTTTTGGAAGAGCATCTTTGCCTTGAGTGGTTATTACGGGGCTGAACGACACGTGTCTGGGCTCGTTACCATCAAACTCTGCCTGGAGCAATCGCTTGGGGAGGGGAAGGAATTCCTTACCATCAGCTGCTTGATGGTCGGGTGCTCCTCCGCCTCCCTGCCCGAGGCCGGCTCCTTGTGCACGATCTCCACTCGGATATCGTTCTTGGCAGAAACCACACCCTTGAGATCTGGGAAAAGAGGGAGATGGACAAGGGGCTTAGTCCGAGCTTCTGCAGGGACATGACTGAGGACTCCCGACAGCACCTGAGAAAATAAACCCGGCTCAGGAAGCCCACTGGAGAGCTGGAGGAGCAATATTTGCATTGCCAGAAGGTATGGACAGCTCAGATTCCTGTAGGAATTCCTTCTGGAGCTCAGCTGGCCTCTGCCACGCTCACGGTGCTGTTACCAGGGGCTGGGCTGTAGCAGAACTGCTCCCACAGGGAGTGAAATCCTTGTCCAGCCTGCTGATCCGTAAGAAATACTGCTCCTGAGGGATGGACCAGCTCTGCCCAGGCTCTGGGAACCCCTGAGAAAAGCCTCCCCCCGGCTGGGGTGCAGACAACACATGGAAAAGGCCAAGCAATGAGCACAGACAAACCAGGGATGGTTTTATCATCTCCAGGCAGCCTGGAAATGACAATGAGAGAAGAGAGAAACATTCCTGGAGAGACTCCCTGCCTTCCCTGAAGGTGTCAGGCGTGCTTTGAACAAGTCATTTTAGCAGAAGTAAACCGCGGATGCGGAGCAGCGGGAGCAGAACGGCGGCGCAAAGCCGAGATGAAAAGCAGAGATGGAGGCAAATCTGAGCAGCGAGACCTCAACAGCTTTGAAGCCGTCCCCCTGCCACGGACCTGGCTCTCACCTCCCAGGATGGCTGTGCCAGCCCTCCCAGACCCAAAAACTGCCTTGAGCCACCGGTTTGTCAGATCTACCTCCAGCTGACGGATCCAGCAGTGCCCTGCCAAGCCAGGATTGCGGGGATCAGTGCAGAAAAGGCTGGACCCCCCGGGAGTTTTATCTCTAAACCAAACCAGATGATGTAACTGACACCAGCTCGAAGCTCTGTCCTTGAATCCATCTCTCCCAGCATCCCCTGTCCACCACACCTGCAGCCCCCAGGCCTCTCCAAGTCTCAGGGCACAAGGCAAAGCCTTTCACTGGGAAGTTACTACAGCTTCTTTTTTTAATGTTGTCCTGCTGGGACCACGTTCCTGGTGCTGGAGCCTCTGTCTTTAATCACTAGGAGATGCTAATCAGTGTCTTGCAGCTCCTCTCCCAGGAGTGTTCCCCCTCAAATAACTCTGGGCCGTTAAGTCACTGAAGATATAACAACAGATGCACAGTAAATTTTTTCTTTTCCAGAGCCTCCAGTCTCAGTGTGTCTGCACCTGGTCTTTTTTTTTTTTTTTTTCCTTTCCCCTGCATTTTCCCAAAACATGGTCAGGAATTGCCTCCCCCATTGCTGTTAGCTGTGGTTGGTGGCTGGGTCAGGAGCTTCCTTCTCCAGAGTTACTGCTGGGTCACTGTGTCCCCTCGACAACAGCTCCTGCAGCCTGCACCAGGTTGTTGTTATAAATGATGGCACAGCGCTCCAGTATTTGTCTTGGGAGAGGAATCTGAAGTCATCCTGGCAGGAAATGAGTCCTTCTCCTGCTATCCAAGTGCTCTGTCAATCCCATCATTCCTGAGCTGATCTCTGTAATAACTCTGTACATCGCACACCACTAACAGTGATGAAATTCCTTTCCTCACCTTTCAGCCTGGTGTTCCCACCCTCCTGCCACTGGAGACAGTGGCCACAGCATTCAGTTGGCACCAGCACCTCAAAACTGGGGTAAAAGCCCATCCACCTGGCAGAGTTCTGCACCCTGAGTGTCACTGGGCTCTGGTTCAGCTGCTGGTGCTCCCAGTTCCCTCCAAACCCAAGGAGAGACTGTTTTGGCAGCTCCCAGTGGCTTTTGGAGCCAGTAAAGGGGAACTGAGTGGCCTCAGTGCCACCAACATGGATCTCAGGCTGGGGAATCCCACCTGCACTCTGGATTTGTTGCTGTCCCCAGCTGGTCTGGCTCTTCCCTTCCCACAAGGTTTTGGGGAGGGCAGGGAGATCAGGGCAGGGATCTTCATTGATCCCTTGGGTGTGAAGTGGCAAAGAAGCCTTGTAGGGAGCACAGGGACCCCTGTCCTGGCCTGGGCAGGCTGCTGACCTCTCCCCAGGGAATCACACTGCCAGGGGAGCAGCAGAGCAGGGAACACTCCCAGACCCAGTAGCCTCTGGTGTACTGGAGACCCAAAAACCTTTTCTAAATGGGATAGCACCAGAAACCCAGTGGAGAAAAGGGGCTTCAAACCCTGCCACCATGTCCCCAGTGCCTTCTTTCCAGAACCTGTCTTCCCAGTCCTGATGAGAAAAATGCCTCTTCTTCTTGATTTACCAATGGGATAGATAACACAAGGCATTTGGCTGGGATGGCCTTGTCCCCTCTTGGCATTCCCCTTGAAGAGCAGCCCATCCTTGCATGCCTCCAGCTTGTGAGGGTCTAAATCCTGGCGTTTCCACCACGTCTGGGATCTGTTGTCATGGCATTCCTGTGAAATTGTGTGTCCTGTAAAGAGCCCTGCACCATCTGGTTCCATCAAACAAGAGGGAAATAATGAACCACACGCTCTCTGTTTCTCTGAAGGATGTGGCTTGGGGAAAAAACAGCCCACGGACTTGGGAACATGGCTCGGCCCTGCTTCCTTCAGGTGCTTGCATTGTCTCTTGATGCAAAAAGACATCAAACTCGCCTGGTCATGGGTGCTGTCCATCAGCAATCCTTCCCCAAAAAGCAAGATAAATGACTTCCCCTATTTAATTCATTAATTCTTGCTAATGGAGGCTGTGGGAGTTTAAAAAAAAAAAAAAAAAAAAGGATAAACCAGGGAGAGGCATCATTATCATGCTGAAAATTAAACACATTTCTGCAGTGGGGGGTTGTGTGTCCTTACTGAATCCAGAAGCAGCCTGGTGTCTTTGATGGCTTTGTAAACCATCAAGGGGGGAAAAATAAAAGAACAACTGGGTTTTCTGGCACGCACGTGAGGAGTTTGGCATCCCGGAATCCGTACCACGCGTCTCGCGAGCCGGGAGCAGCGCCAAGGATCTCCTCCTCTCCCCAGAGGCTTGGAATGCTCTAGACAATCACACTCTTCTCCCTCCAGCTTTCGTGCCTTTTCACGGAGCCAACAATCCGTCTTTAATGTCCCGGTGTCTTTTTAATGAGGCCAGACAATGCTGCACTGCTTCCTGCTCCTCCTCCTCTACCTGCGTCTCTAATGTCACTTTAACTTGTATTCCCACTGCAGCCAGACTCCAGAAGGCACAAGTCCCATGAAAAACCCCTCTGCTGGCTGTCATTCCTGCCAGGAATATGCATGTCAGGAAAATTGGAATTAAAACAGAAGCAGAACTGTGGAGGGTTTTTAAGCACCGATACGGCACAGTGAGGATGCTTCTCCCTCTTGTACCTCAGGATTTCTCCTAGGGAGAGATTAAGAGGTCCCCTGCACACCTCCTGAGCTGCTAAGAGGGATCAGCAGTTACCCTGGCATGTCTTCCACAAACCCTTCCCTTTTCCCACAGGGCTGCTGTTTGCAGCAAACTCTTGGTAGACCAACACGAGAAGCAGCTTGTGTGGAGAAGTAAATCCAGTAAATTGTGTCGGTAAACTCAGGCTCTGCTTTCTCCCTGCTCCACGCGATTCACCCTCCCCAGAGCTCTCCCCCAGCCCTCCCAAAGGGGTGACACTTACTCCTCTGGGAGCGGGCGCAGCAGAAGGCGACGATGGTGGCCATCAGCACCAGGAACGCCACGCCGGCCCCCACGGCCACTCCGATGATCACCGCCATCGGCACCGACTCTGCAAGAGCAACGAGAGGAAGCGTGAAGCTGGCTGAAGGTCACAGAGGGGGCTTTTCCCCCAGGGACCCACCCCTGGCTACTGGCAAGAGGCTCAGTGATGAGCCCGGGGAGGGTTTTGGGGCCTCCTTCCCTGCTCCCCCATCCCTGCGTGGTGATGTCGGCACGGGCTGCCTGTGGAATGCTGCAGTTTGTACAGCCCTGCTCCTTCTGTGCCTCAGTTTACCCTGGGAGGAGAGGAGGGGGGAGCCAGAGGAGCAGATTAGTAACTGCTCTTGTTAGTGCCCTGTGGGTTAATGAATGAGCTTCTCTAAAGGATTAAGTGCAAAAGAAGACTGTGTGTTAATATTATAAAGAAAGAGAAACGGCATCCAAGCAGGCTGATGGATGACTTAACCCAAGTCATCATTCACAGCCCCTCCCTATTTTATATCCCAATTTCCTGCCTTCTCCTGTGGCTTATCAACTGTCATCCTTCCAAAATTCCTGAGGGTGCTACAAAGACTGGGACAGGAGGGATGGCCCATGCTGGGAATGAGCACTTGGGATGCGTGGGCAGGGTGTGTGGGAGGCAGAGCACCCTCACATCCTTCTGCCTACAAGAACTTTGTCACCAAATTCCTGGGAGGCATTTTGGGCTGTGGCTCAGGCAGCAAAGCTGATTTATCTACGCAGGCCCTGGCAGCAGCTTGTGAGGTGTGGGGAGGGTGGAACGGGAAATCACATTTTTGGTGAGAGGGTCAGATTTGGAGCCCCAAAGCCTTTTCATCTCCCTGCTCTGTCTCTCCAGTTCCTCCAGGCACAGCTCTGCCTTTACAGTGAGTGTTGGGTTGGATTAAGGAGGGGCAGTGATGGGCAGCACTCACACTGTAGGACACCACAGCTGTGGGTACCACAAATTGCCCTCCTTGGCTGGGATGATAAAGCTGCATCCCAAAGATCCTCTCCCCTAAAGCTGCAGGTATCTCTAGGTTCCCATTCCTTGTCTTTCTAAACACTCTGTAGGATCCTGTGAACCAAGAGGGGATAACCCTGTCTGGGATGGCCAGATAAGGTGAGTGTGTCCTCAAAACTTTCCTGGACACCTCCTTGGAAGGTGTTTTTTCCTTGGAGGCCTTGCCTTGGAAATGGATGGGATGAATTTATGGAAAAATGTATTCAGAGAGGTGGCTCTCCTCAGAGGTCTGTGCAGATGGGGACATGAATGCTGCTGGACCCTGAGGACACAGGGGGTGACCCTGCTGAGAAGCAAAGCCCAGGGATTGTCACTTGGTGATACAAGAACCATTTCCCATTGCCCACAGGTGTGGAGCTGGGGGTGGGCACGAATTTCATCCTGTACCTGACACCACAGATCTCACCTGTGCCTTTCATCCTTCCCAAGGGGGAAACATCCCTGCTGGTGGGACTGGGGGCAGCTCTCATTCCACCAGCATCCACTGTGTAGTCAGCAAAGGGTGTAATCCTTGTTTACCCTATCCCAAATGGGACAGGGGAGTTCTAAAGCCACTTCATGGTACCCTTAAGCCATGGCTGAGGAGCTCCTGGGTCCTGAGCCCTAATTTGGGAACTGCAGGGTGATAAACATGTGGTGCTGATTGAGTTTAGGCTCTGCTCACACTTGATCAAAATAGAACTGATGTGGCTTGCTCATGGATTTCCAGCTTGGGCCTGCTGGTCCCTTGATGTGTCACACGTCACTCAAGCTGGGCCACTGGTGACATGACTCAAGTGGCACTGAACCAATCCATCACCAAACCTCTGGGAGTGCCCAGCTGGTGAAAAGGCAAATCCCCTCAGTCCTCTGCTGGAGCTCAGGGAACAGGTGCAGCAGCTGGGTCCAGCTGCCCCAAGAAGCTCACCCTAAAATCTGCATCCTCCAACCCAGCAGCGGAGCCATGGCACAAAGAAAACAGGAGTTACTGAGGCCACCTGCTAGGCAGTGCTCCTGCCAACAGTGGTAGTTCCTCATGGGATTTTTCAGCTTTCCCAGGGGAATATGGAGCAAGGGGCTGGAGAGACAGGAGCCTGGAGACCCTGGGAGGGCTGGCTGGCTCTCAGCTTTGGGGAATGGATCTGCAGGGCAGAGCTCAGAGAGAAGCAGGTTGTGATGGGGATTAAGAGGATGAAGAGCCATGCAGGGAATGGGGTGGGGAGAATGTCCAAGGCTCTCCTGGGCTGGGATAAAGGAAATTGCAAAGAGGCAGTGACAGAATGGTGGGGATGGTAAACTCTCCTGTAGGGGTGGGTGAGCTGAGGGAGGGGCAGACTGCTGGCTCCCCCAGGAATTCTGCTGTGGGGCACAGGATGAGGAACCACAAGGGCAGCACATCCTGCAGACCTGCCCCAAGATCCATCCAGACCTGCTCTGGTGCCAGTGGATGCTGGCCATCACTCTCCCACTATGCTGAGCCAAATTGATGTCTGCAAATGACCCTGGAAACATGTACTTTTCCCTCTTTGTTTTTGTCCCACAGTAGCACTCTGTGGGACTCCTGCAACATTTTAAACATGGCTGAGTAACAGCATCCCCCTTCCAGTGACTGGGGAGCTGGGGCAAAGAAAGTGCTGGTTTGCAGAGTGGGTTGGTGGCACAGGGGGACTGGACCACTCCATCTTCCCAGTCCTGCCCCAGTCACTGCCCTGCAGCTTCCCTACACCCCTTCCTGCCCTGCCTGCCCTATGGAAAGCTGCCGGGCCAGGAGGAGGACGCTGGGCCCCCAGGTGTGGAGATGGCTGGGGACAATTCACATTCACCGTCAGCTCATGATTTCCATACCTGCTTGAATACCAGCTCCTGATTTCATTTCCGTACCTGTTTGAAAATAAAGCAAGTGTCCACAGCCTTGCACAGCCCACGCGCCCACCGCAGCCTTCCTGAGCGCTCAGCCCTCTGCTCCGCTCTGCTCCGGGGCTGGCCCCGTGAAGGGACCCTGCGGCGTCCCCCTGGCCCGGGCAGGGCTGTCCCCTGTGCCACCCTGCGCTGTCCCCTGGCCCGGGCAGGGCTGTCCCCTGTGCCACCCTGCTCTGTCCCCTGGCCCGGGCAGGGCTGTCCCCTGTGCCACCCTGCGCTGTCCCCTGGCCCGGGCAGGGCTGTCCCCTCTCGTGGCCCAGCAGGGACGCCTGGATGTGAGCTCTGCTGCCCGGCACCCTCCGCCGGGACCCAGGCTCGCCGCCGAGCACTCCTGCTGACTGGCAGACGACCTGGAAAAACCACTGGCTCTGTTTGCATTGGAAGAAGCCCAAGGCTAATTTTAAGGGGTTCATTTAGCTCTGATTTAATCTGGACGCCAGCCTTGCCTATAAATCACGGCTTAATGAGAACAATCCACCTGCCTGCCCTGGCATTTAATAAAATAGAGGAGAACTGGAGCTCCTCCAGGAGCTGAGCATTCCTCACAGCTAAGCCTTCTCCCTCCCCTGCTGTGGAGAGCCCCGAGAGTGGAATTTCCCTGGCCATCCCCTGGGAATTGCTGGGTGTGTGAGACCAGCCCTATGTGATATGCTGGCATTGTGGCTGGTGGCCAGGATGGAGAGTTGCCACCAGTCCAAACGCCTTCCTCTGCTCACTCCCATCACCGTGGAGCAGTGGGGTCTGCTGGGAGCAGCCACTCCTGTCTCTCCAAGGCTATAAATGATCCTCCAGCCTGGGCAGTGACATCACCTTGTACTGTGGGACAGGGAGTAAGGGGTGCAGGATCAGTCCGTGCCCTCCGGCTTCAGCAGGACAGGTAAAATCAGGAATACCTTACCAAGCAGAGACTTTACAGGGTTTGTCCCTGCTCCTGCCCCTTCACCAAGATCATGTGCCCTAAGGATGGAATCCTACAGCTAGCACAGCTGGAGCCTTGTCACCGTCCTTCCTAATTGCCTCTTTGGCATCCCAAGAGCTCTCCTGAGCACCTCCTGCCTCTCACAGCACGTCCCCACTCTCACACCCAGCCAGGTGCTAATTCCCACTGCCCAGCAGCCCCAGCAGCTCCCCAGCAGTGCCCACCTTGCTCCTTGAGCCGGATGATCTCCGTGTCGGAGCCGAAGCTGTTCCAGGCCGTGCAGTTGTAGATGGTTTGGAAATCAGCCCTGACGATGTTGCTGATGGTCAGTGTGGAGATCACTCCCTCATCTGTGCTCACCGTCTCCACCGTGTAGCGCCCGGAGGTCCCAGACTCCAGAACGTTCTCCTTCCAGGACCAAGCCTGCCAAGAGAGAGAGGGGTGATGTCTCTGTCTCTCTGGGAGCCCCCAGGAACCCCGGCCAGCCCCAACTCGGCCGACAGTGGGGGGACAGCCCCGAGAGCGGGGGACACTCTCTCGTGCCCCGAGGGTACTGAAGGCAGCTGGGCTAGTCGCCTTTGCAGCAGAGGGGACGCTAGAGACATTGGTAGAGGATGAAAGGGCCGACTCTTAGCAGGGGTTAATCCAAGGTTTTATTCTGAGCTCCTGGGAGCTCCCACACCTCAGGGGGCCCCTGCTCAGAGTGCCCGGGAGAGGTGCCAAGGTATGTTTAAAGGGAGGTGTGAACAAAAAGTAGATAATTTTGCTGACCAATAAAGAAACTTCAGGGGTGAAAACTTAGGGAATGGACATTTGGGACAGTGTATGGGGCAGCACTTGAGGGACTGACCCCTGGCCTCTGACTAATCACAGCCTGGACTGAAAGTTCTAGATAGAAAGGATGGGATGCTGAGTGATTGACAGAGACCCAGGGCAGGGATTTGGGGATGATCTCAACAAAGGAGAGGGACTACACAGATAAAGGGAGGGGGTACAATCAGGGGTAAACCATTTGGGAAAAATAAGGGGAAACCAAACCAAAACTATTACAAAGTATAAGGGTGAGCCCAGGGCAGGCCGGGGTGTTCCAGGCCCCCGCCGTGCCCAGGGTGATACTCACAATCCGGTCTGGCGGCGGAGTGCTGCGGATGAAGCACTTGATCTGCCCCTTCTGGCCGTGCAGGGCGTGCTGGGTCTGGGTGCTGGAGATTATGGGGGGCCCTGTGGAGACAGGAGAGGCTGCTGGCACCCCATGGGACTGGTGGGGATGGGGGGTGTTGGGGGAGCCCTGAATGGATGTTGGAGTCCATCTCTGAAGAGCAGGGATGGAGAAACAGCCCCATCACCTCCTGTGATGGAGAACATTGAGTGGAGGCTTTGGGATCTGCTGGGTTTTTGAAAAGCCCCCACAAAGCACCAGGGTGCCCCATCTCTGTACCCCAGTCCCTGGTGTAAAGGGTCCTTCTCCTATTTCCTTGGTGAGCCTGGCCTCTGAGAAGGGCTGTTTGCTGCAGAAGCAAAGCAGGATCCCATCCCACCTGGTGTTCCTCTTCTGTGCCCTCCCAGATTCATTAAGCAACCATTAAACTAATTGCTCTCCAGGGCATTAAGGAAGTTGTGGTGGATGAGTTTCTGCTGGAAAACCTTGACACTCATCAGCTGGGCTCTCCTGTGCCAAGTGGGTCATGAAAGGAGCCGAGGAGAAAGGGTAGGAAAGGCTCTTCCTGAGCCAAACACCAGCTTGGGATGGGAGATGTCCTTGTCCTGCCCTGCTGAACATCCTGTGACTGGGAGAAAAGGGGTGGGAGAGGATAGTGTGTGGTGTGTCCCTCACTCTTTTAACAGCCCTGATGGCCCCAGGGGAGCAGCACATGAGCTGGGATCCTAATTGCTGCTTATTAACCTCCTTAATTAAAGCAGATTTACATTTCCATGAGTGGCTTGCTGCTGGCAGAAAAAAAACAGCAACAACTGGGCTGCAGGGCAGGGAGAGAGGGATGGCAGGGGCTGTCAGAACTCCCCCTGCTCCAGCTCTGGACCTTTGGGTGTTCACTTGAGGTTGCCATGCGTGATTTAGGGTATGTCACTGAGTTTATCAGAAATACAGCCTTGTGGATTTTTTTTCAATTTTCCTCACCTCTCTGCCCTGGTCCTTCAAAAAAAGTCTTAGGGATTTGGGGTAAAGTGGGAAGAAAGATTTGCCTGGGTATTCCTGCCTGATTCTCATCCAAATCACCCATTTATAAATTTCATGGATGCACAAAAATGTACCAAAATGCTAAATCCTTCATGGATTTAATTTCTACACACAGCTGCCTTTTGGAACTGTCCCAATAACCCCTTCCTGCACCAAAGTTGCACATTACCCACACACTTCCCACTGAGGCACAGCCCTGTCCCTGCTTCCTTACACTGCTCCAAGGGGAGATGGATGGAAAACAAGCTCATTGAAGCACAATTCACTGACCAGTGCCCACAGTTCTGGCAGCTCAGGAAATTACTACTGGAAGGGAGCTGCCATCAGCATCAGGAATAGCAGGAGCTGGGCGTGAAGGTCAGGACTTGTTTTGCTGTAATGGACATAGCAGTACGGTAGTGGAGACTTGTGCCCTTTTTTGATCAAAGAGGGCAAAAAAAAAAAAAAGACACTTTGTTGTGTTTTTCTCTCTAAATGCTCAAGATGTTGTTCTAGGCACGATCCCAAGGTGTGAGTTCTTGTTTATCCATCGCTGAAAGCTCAGCTTTCCCAAGGGTCTCAGTGGAGGTGACTCCTTGCTTTGCCTGAGGAGCCTGCTGAGGCTGTTGATGCTCCTGCCCACCTGATGATTCCAAAGCCAGCAGAGGCAAGAGCAGTGATGGGATCTGCAGGCCAGACCTAAACAGTAATAAAAAGAACCATCTCCTTTCCATTTTGATGGTTGTATGTTACTTATAAATTCTGGAAGTGCTCCAAGACTGGGTGACGCTAGAGAAAAATGGCTTAATAATCATTAAAAGGATCATTTTCCCCAAGGCGAGTGGATTTTAATGGCACAAATGCCAATGGCTTTGGCTTCTATTATTGCTTCAGGAGTTCAGAGTCGAAAGCTTATCATCATGATAATAGTCGATGACTAAAGACTATTTGTGAGATGAACATGCCCAGAAATAATAGCATGAAGTTGCAGCCTCTTCGCATTCAGGGCTGGTGTTTGATTCTGCACCAGGCTCTGGCTCCTTATGAAAGCTGCCAATCTCCAGCTTGGCATTCAGCACCGAGTGTGAGACAGCCCACAGGCAGGGAAAAGGCTCTAAGCAATGTTGCTATGGATATAAATGATGGAGCTATTGGTGGAGGTTATTTTTAGCACCTCAGTGCCAATTTATTTGTGAGGTCCTGGCGGCTCACACAAAAGAGAAGTCTGAGGTGGAAGCCTTCAGGAATGAAAGGATAGGATGGCCTTGGCTTCTCCAGTCTGCTCGAGTCCATCTGAACCTTTCTCCCAGGCACTCAAAATGATTTGGCAGGAGAGTTTTGTTTAACTCCTTGCTTCCTGCAGAAGTCCTGGGCTGGCTGATTCTGCCTGGTATTACAAAGGAACACCACAGACTGATTTGGGTTGGAAAAGATTTTAAAACCCATCTCATTGCAGATCCCCTACCTTGGGCAGAGACACCTCCCACCAGAGCAGGTTGTTCCAACCTGGCCTTGAGCATTTCCTGACACCATGATGTGCTCCTGACCAAGCAGGGTGGCAGCTCAGCCCTGCTCCCAGTTCTCAGGCATGCCCAACTTCCTTTTTGGGGTGAATCCCAGGCAAATTACATCCTAAATTAGTCACCTGGAGCTGTCCAGCCCTTCCAACAAACTTCTCTTGCAGAACAAGGTGGGCAGAGGTGGTGGTCCCTGCTCAGCAGCCCCTGCCAAGCCCAGATGAGGCAGTGACAGAGGGGGCTGCTGCTGATCTTCCTGTGAAGGTGACCTCGGGGTGCTCCTGCTGGGGTGGGAGCTGTGACCAGGCTGGGTGCAGTCAAGAGCATCGAGAGGCTTTGGCTGTAAATCCAGCTGCTGCTGATTTATGATGGCACCAAGTTCCTCCCTTCCCTCGAGCCTCTGCTGCTCTGGTCCTGCCAAATGCTGCTGCTTTGCATAATCCTCCTTCCTACTCACCAGACTCTGAATCCTATCTGCTTCCTTGCAGGCTGGTGGCCTTGGCTCTGGCATGGGATTGGGCTGCTCTGTAACCACAGCCCTGTCTGATGAGGCTGGGTGGGAAGGGCAGAGGATGCTCTCCCACCCCACCATCATCATGCCATGATTTTGGATAATTTTTGGAATGGATGGGCTGGGTGGGACCACAGGCTCAGATTGGGTCGGGTGATCCCTCAGTTGGGATCTCTGTGCTCGGTGGGATGGACCAGCCCCCTAAAAGTCCAGGTGCCCTGATCAGGGGCAGTGCAGCCAGCCCAGAACACAACTTCTCAGTGCCTGATTTTTGTGTGACAGAGGGAGGCATCTGGTAATAACAGACAATTGTATCACCCTCTGGATTTAAAATCACTTCAAAATGTGAGGCATTCAACTTCCCCCTTGAATTACATCAGAACAGGCTTCCAGCAGAATTCATTAGCTGGATTAGGCACACTGTGCCATGCTCTGCAGCTGGAACGCTGCTCCTGCTGCAGGACAGGCTGCCTGGTTCTTGGTGGATGTGGGATGTGGGGATGCTGCTCAGGGGCTTGGTTCTCCTCACTTGGAGGGCATCCTGACTTGGAGGTGTGGGGTTCTCCCTTGCTCCAATACCTGCAGTGACATGTCCCAACACTGTCACCTTCGGAGTGCACCAAGCCCCTGGCAGCACCTCCCATGGGATGGGATGTGCAGGCAGTCAGTTCCTGGCAGATGCTCAAGGCTGAGCAGTGAACCCCCTGCATGGATTTCATTTGCTCCCCATCAGTTTCCCCAGGCATAAGCTGGGGGAAAAAAAACAAAAGTAGCTGGAGGGAAACTTTTCCAGCCAGTGCTGCACACTCCAAATGCCCAAGCCTGTGGGGAGCTCTGCTCTGCTCTCAGGGCATCCCTGTGCCTGGTAGGTGTCAGGGAAGGAGCATGTTCTTCGTGCTAATTTGTTGCTTTGTTTTCCATGATCTCATTTAATTGTAATTAAAACCCAGCAGCTGCTGGGGAAGGAGACTGAAGGCGCCGAGGAGCTGAGGCCAAGTCGAGGGAGTGGCTGGTTTTCAGTCCCTGCTGTGTTGCCCTTGGCTTCCTTTTCTAGGATTATAGAAACCTGGAATTGTTTGGGTGGGAAGTGACCTTTAAAGGTCATCCAGTCCAACCCCCTGCCATGACAGGGACATCTTCAGCTAGATCAGGTGCTCAGAGCCGTGTCCTTGAATGTTTCCAGGGAACTGGGGCATCCACCATCTGCATTATCTGTGTTTGAAATCAATGCTTGCCTGAGCTGCCTCCTGCTTACGTTCTTCTCTTGTGACAGTGAGTGGGGAGTGAAACCTGCCAGTTTGTCAGGTGAGAGACAATGCAAAATTCATCCTCTGCTTACAACATTTGCAGCCTGCCTGGCTCTTTCCCTGCCGTATTTATGCTGAAATTTGTTACCAGCTGCTGCGAGGTCCTGGCCAGGGCATCATTAAACTCCAGAGATGTGGCTGTGAGTGCAGGGCACATCCTGACACAGTGCTGGATGAGCCCCAAGCAGCCATGGAGGTACCCTGACAGCAATCCTGACAGGAATCCTGGCAGAGTGTTCACAAGTATCCTCACAGGAATCCTCACAGCTATCCTCATGTGGGTTGCAGAGTGTGATTAGGCTGCTGGTCTTGGATCCATACTCAATTCCCAGCTCTCCAGGTGTACAATAGAGACAACAGCACTCTCCGACCTTGCAAGGGTTTTGCAAGATTAATCTATTAAAGATTTAAAACTGCCAGCTCCCAACTACTCAATAAACCCCTGTTGATAATAAGGAACTGTGTGGGGCTGTGCAAATGTTGATTTTTTTTTTTTGCTTTAACTTGTGCATTTCCAGGCAAAATAATGCAAAATCCACTTTACTCCAATTGCCTGGATCTCTGATCCAACTGGGGGTGGGATTTGCTCCAAAAGGAAGTATCTGAGTGGATAATTTGGGAACAGGAGCTGTCAGAGCAACAGGATCAAGGCAGGAAGGGAATGGGGATAGGGAATGAATGGTGGAAGGGAAGCAGGAAGGAATGGCAGAAAGGAAGCAGGAGGATAGGAATGGTGGAAGGGAAGCAGGAGGGAATGAATGGCAAATGGGAAGCAGGAGGAGGGAATGGCACAGGGGCAGCAGGAGGTACCGTTGACGGTGAGCGTCACCTCCCGCTCCCCCGCGCCCACCCGCGGCACCACGGCTCTGCACACGTATTTCCCAGCGTCTTCCTGGCGGACTGACTTCAGGATCAGCTTGTTCTCGTTGCTCAGGACCTGAAAGAGAGGAGGGGGGCTTTCAGGTGGGCCATGAGAAGTTACAGACGAAACAAATGACCTGAGTTACAAGAGCTGAGTCACCAGCTCCTGAGCATCCTTGGAAAGCCAAGTGGATGAGCCCAAAGTCTGGCATTGCATGGAAATATCACTTACTGCTGTTGCCCAAAGAATAAAGAAACACCACAGGTGTTTTGGGGTGGAATTAGAAGTCCTCTTCCTATTAATTTGAATTTTTACGAACTCCAGTTTTGCAAGAAGTTCAAGATGCAAGAGGAAAATTTTGGTGGCTGCAGTGACACAGGCAGAAAAGCCTCAGAGAGAACCACACTCCACACTTGCACCTCCACATTTACAGGCACAAGGGAGGCTGCTGGGATTGACTCGGGGATTTTAAGCCCAGAAGTGGTGACAGAGGTGGCAGACACCTTGGAAGAGGGACTGGATACCCAGGGAAATCTCAGCTGGCTCTGGCCAGCCCCCTGCTATGGACTGTCTGACTGTTGCTCCCCTGCCCTGCTGTGCAATATGCAGTTTTATCAAACCTGGAAAAGCACAGAAGCTGAGGGATCTGGCTGAGGCTGTCAGCAGGATCTTGGCTCTGCTGGGTTTGAAAAAAAACCATGGCAGATCTCAAACAGAGTCTGGTTTCTGGAGCAAACTCCTCCAGTTGCCCTTGGCCCTCTCCCCCAGGGCTCTGCAGGTCACAGCCCATCATCTCTCCTCAGCTGGGTGAGCCTCTGGCCCTGCTGCTCCCACAGCTCCTGGAATCAGCACTGATGTAGTGGTTGGATGTGGATCTGGGTTTCTCTGTAGCAAGGTGGGGGTCTCAGCCCTAACCTGGCACGAGGCAGAGGCACAGAGGGTCAGATCCCTTTTAAACCCACTGTGTTAGCATCGATTGCAAGTTAGCCATAAAAACACCTGTGTTTACTTGGCCTCCACCTCTCTTTGGTCTCTGACTTGCTTCCTTTTTGTCAATAAAGGAGAAAAGAAGGCAATCTTGAGGGACTTCAACCTGGTTCTGAATACAGAGGGGCTGGGGAAGAAGCAGCCATGATCCCAGATCCAACTGGGATGTCTGGGTGCTGATGGCTTTACAAAGCAGCATCCTCTGCCATCCTCTGCTACCTCTGGGCAGGTGGAGGTGGCTCTGGTGACCAACATAACCATCTCTGCTGGGCTACACCAGCTGGGGGTCTGTCCTGAAGTCACAGAATCGTGGAATTGTTTGGCTTGGAAGGGACCTCAAACACCTCGAACATATCTCACTCCAATCCCCTGCCATGGGCAGGGACACTTGCCCTTATCCAGGGTTCCCCCTATCCCAGGCTGCTCCAAGCCCTGCCCAGCCTGGCCTTGGGCACTGCCAGGGATCCAGGGGCAGCCACAGCTGCTCTGGGCACCCTGTGCCAGGGCCTGCCCACCCTCACAGAGAAGAATTTCTCCCCAGTATCCCATCCATCCCTGCCCTCTGGCAGTGGAAGCCATTCCCTGTGTCCTGTCCCTCCAGGCCCTTGTCCAAAGTCCCTCTCCAGCTCTCCTGGAGCCCCTTTAGGCCCTGGGAGGGGCTCTGAGCTCTCCCTGGAGCCTTCTCTTCTCCAGGCTGGACACCCCCAGCTCTCCCAGCCTGGCATCCAACCCTGGAGCATCTCCGTGGCCTCCTCAGGACTCGCTCCAGCAGTTCCATGTCCTTCTGAAGTTGGGACAGAACTTCAGAAGAACTGGACACAGCACTGCAGGGGTCTCATGAGGGCAGAGTGGAAGGGCAAAATCATCTCCTTCATTCTGCTCCAAGAAGTTCCAATGTGATGGAACTCAGCTGGAGAGAGGCAGATAAAAAGGGAGAAGGAGGCTGTGGCTGGACACTGCTGGACAGCAAAGGCAAGCCCTGATGGGGGCTGGACTGGAGCAGGAGGGTGAGGCAGCCCTTGCTCCCAGCTCCTGCAGCAGAACAACAGTCTGTGTGTGAGAGCCTGCAGTGATAACCCAGAGATACAGCCACAGCAGCTGTGGGATGGGAAGCCGCCCAGGAACTACTGACCCACTGGGATTCCTTTGCTGATTCAAGCCATCAGCTCTCCCATCTTCCCAGGAGATGGCCTTCACCAAGGTCATTATGGTTTGGAAAAAGCAGCCCAGCAGTTAATGCCTCAGTGTCCCCAGAGGAGGGAGGATTCAGCCCCTCCGTGGGGGTCCAGCTCTCCAATTACAGCCTTGAGCTGGAACAGCAGCGTTCCCCCATCCACAGATCTGCCCAGGTGGAGCTGGGAGATGCTTTTCAAACCCAAACCTGTGCGTGTTTCTGAATGAGTTTCACATCTCAGCCCTCCTTTAGCTTTTTCCCGTGGCTTTGCTCAGCCTTCCTGGCTGTAAGGAGGGATAGAGCATCTCCTGCTTCCTGGACCTGACTGAGCTGTGATTACGATTGGCAAAGCTCCTTAGGATTTTCAGCACAAAAGAGATGTGGAGAAGTCTGCTGGGACAGATCCACGCTCCTCCCTGGAGCAGGCTCCAGCCAACAGCAGGGAGTGCTGGGGTGAACATGTAGGGGTGCGAGATCCCAGGCCTGGGGGGCAGAAAGGTCCATCCCAGGAAGGACTATCCTAGATAGAACCATCCCATGAAGGTCTATCCCAGAAAGGACCATCCCAGGAAGAGCCATCCCATGAAGGTCCATCTCAGGAAGGTCCATCCCAGGAAGGTCCATCCCATGAAGGTCTATCCCAGAAAGGACCATCCTAGGAAGGTCCATCCCAGGAAGGTCCATCCCATGAAGGTCTATCCCACACAGGACCATCCCAGAAGGCTCCACATGCAGGGGAATTGCAGAACTGCTCCCCATCAGTGAGGTGTTAAGTGATGCTCTGGTTCAACCCTTCTGTCCATCATCACTAAATAAATACCCCACTCTTAGGACCCCTTTGCATTTGGAGGAGCCAGCATTCATCAGCCAGGAGGTGCCAGACCACACGGGTTCTGCTCCATGGGAAGGGTCCTGCAGCACCCCGTGCCCAGGACGTGCCCCTGCCCCCCGCAGCTCTTACCACGCCCGAGCCTCTCTTCATCCAGACGATGGTGAGGGAGGGGTTCCCGGTCCAGGCACAGTTGAACACCGCGTCCGAGCCCAGGTCAACCAGCAGGGACTGCGGCTCTGTGGCCATCCTGGGCCCAACTGTGCAGAGGAAACTGGAGTTACTGCCAGTGACAGGCTCTGCCAGCCAGACACCCCCAAACCAAACAGGTCACAGGGAGCAGTGCTAGATCCTGATGGGCCCCAAACAAAGAAAAGCCTCAGGCAGGTGAGCCTGCTGCAGCTCCAGAGGGACCAGCTCCCCAGTGACCACCCCGCGAGCTCGCAAGGAGATCACAGCATTTCCAGAGCATTTACAAAGCGTGAGCTGCGGGAGAGCCCAGCAAGTCCTGCCACCCTGGGCAAGTCAGACTGAGCTGTGTCTGCTTCCCGCTGATTCCCAGCAGCTCTGCTGAGCCTGGAAGCTGGACTGAAGCCAACAGGTTACTCACAGTAGACATCCACTGTCCTGCTGATGTTTGTGCTGCCCAGAGCATTGGTGACCTCGCAGGAGACGGGCTCAAAGAAGAACGTGTGGTCCACGATGGTTTCGTAGAAGTCACCAGAGGCTTCCTTTATAACCTGGCCTTTCTTTGCCCACCTGTTGAAGAAAACAGAGCATCGTTGTGGTGCTGTTTTGTGTCTCTTGCTATGCCCACGTGCAGCTGTCACAGTGCTGGGGGCAGCACACCCAGAGTGCCCCTGACTTCAGAAGGAACATGAACTTGTTCTCAGCATCGTCCCCTTCCCCAGGGATTTAGGGACTACAGCCACAGGTTTTGGAGAGGAGCCATCAGAGAGATGTGTACGTGTACCCCTACAGAAACCTTTCCAAAAGAAACCAACATTCTGTTACCCTCTTTCCCTTGGAATATACCTAATATTTTAGGATTGTGAAGGACCTCAGTGATGGGAGGAATGGGACATGGAGGGTCTCTACTTGATGGGGAATGACAGTCCCTTCCTGAATGCTTGCCAACAACACTGCTGGTCCACATCAAAACCACTAAAAACATTTTCTGCTGCCCCCTGCTTTGGCCCTTTTCTTGCCTTTTTTTTTTTTTTTTTTTTTTTTTTTTTTCCTGACCAGTCAAAGAGAACTTTATCCCTTTAAGGCAGCTGAAATAACATTTCCCGAAAAGCCAAGCTGGCATTTGCAACACTGCAACTTGCAAATTGTCTTGGAGAACAAGCTGTCAACTCAGCACTTGAATTAAGCCCTGTTTGCCAAACAATGAGCAAATGTGACCTAATGGGGCACCATCTGGCAACCTGCCACTGGGGAACGGGTGGAAAAGGCGGGAGATGCTGTCAGGCAGCGTGAAACTCCAGCCACTCTTTGGGGAAGGGAAAAAAAGCCTGGGAAAAAAACATATAATAATCCTCCCCAAACAACTGACAGGTAAATTGGAGGGAAGAGGGTTTCTCTGAGGAATCTCTGCCTTGTTGTTTTGGGGCTGCCCTTCTGGGTGTGCTGGATAGGTTGGGAAAGATGCAGGCACTTGGAGCTGGCTCTCTGGAGAGAGGAAGGAGCCACAGAGGCTGCTCCCCACACGGGGTGGGTGGGGTGGTTTGGGGAAAGCTCTCCCCTTCAAGGCAAGCAGCATCTGCTCTTGGTCCTCCCAGCAGTCTCCTGCTTCCCTCTGCTTGTTCCTGTCACTCTGCCATGGTTCCTCACTGCTTCAATGCTGCTCCAAAGGCAGCCAAGGACAACTGGACTTGCAGGGAGCTCCTGCTGAAGGTCCACAGGCACTGACGTGCCTCAGTGGGGCTGGAGAAAGAGCAGAATGCTGCTCCATGGCAGGCTGGAGAACACCCTGAGTGCTGCCAGAGCCGATTCCCCCAGCACCTGCTGCTGTGAGCCTCAGTGCCTCCTGCCAGTGACCTGCTCAGCCTCCCCCGTGGTGACACAGCGCTCTGAGAGCTGTTCCCAGGGGATGGAAGTGATTTGTATGCACTGACCTGCCCTCGCCTTCCATTTATCTTCACATTTCTAACAGATGCTGACTGGCTACTTCAGCTTCCCTCCCCTGCCTCCCTCACCTCCCCCTCCAATAATTAATCAGGAGACGCCAGTTTTATTTCTAGGGCTGCACTTCGTGTGTTAATGAGGGAGGTCCTGTATGGAAAATCCTGCACAAACGGAGCCTTCCAGGTGCTGCTCCAAAGGTCTGAATGGGCAGCGGTGCTTTGGTGATGCCTTTCTCTTCCCAGAGGGAATTGCATCCCAAGCTTGTTCAGGCAAGCTGACCTCAGCATCCTGCTTTCCTGCCTCCCGACAGATCTGCTTGCCCTGCTGCCTCCCTGCCACAGGAACGCTGCTGCCCGCTGTGGGAGGCATCTGCCAGAGCTGTGGCAGCGGCTGGTTCCTTGGGGATGGGGCAGCAGAGGGACAGGGGCATCTGCCACAGGTCTGGCACCTCGTGCCCAAAGCTTAGCGCAGCTTGTGGGATGGAGAGGAGACACATTCCTGACGTCACCTCTTTGGTTTGCTGGTCCAAAAGACCTGAATTCCTATCTCAGGAACTGCAGATGGATGAAAGAAAAGAGGGAAGGAAGGAAGGAAGGAAGGAAGGAAGGAAGGAAGGAAGGAAGGAAGGAAGGAAGGAAGGAACAGAGCTAGAGGGACAGGGAAACTCCAGCTGGTGAATGGGGAAATGCCCCATGCTCTTTGTCAGGAATATTTCTGCTCCATTAAGCTCCTTTTACAACTTTTTCCCCGTAGAGATTCCCAACCAAGAGCAGTTTCCCAGCCTCTGGAGGGTCTTGTTCTGCTCCTCAGGTGCTCAAGGGAGGCAGCAGGTACATGAAGCCATTTTTTCAGCAGTCAATGGGACAGGGCATGGCACCAAACTTCTGGGACAATCCAGAGCTTCTCTTGTGCCAGGCACTTCCCTGGTTATTTTGCACAAATCCACCCTTCCTGCTGTGCAAAGGACAAGAAGGAGGCTTCAAGATGAGGACAAAAGTGACTTGTGGGGTCAAGTCCTTGCACCTGCCTGCAGTTCATCCTCCCAATATTCCCAGAGAGCACCAGGAATTGGAACCAGACGGAGAAGTGTCTGGAGGTGGGTTTGAGGTGGGCAGAGCTCAGATGAGATCTTTCTGGATGTTGCAAAACAGCGAACAAGGTTTCCAAGAGCCGTTTGACATCGCAGCTGCTTGGGAAAACACTTCCCAACAACCGTGGCACGGTGCTTTATGGATTTGTTCGAAACCCATCGCTGCTGCAAAACTGGGTTTCCTGATGTGTCACAAACACCAATTTTTCGTGCTTCAGCAGAGATCAAGGTTCTTGCTCCAGTTTTCCAAGGCTTAACATGGCTAAATCAATGTGGCTGAACGAGCAGTATGGATCTTTTATAATGTCAAATTGGTTTTTAATAATGGCAGCTGATAACCCTCTTGTAAAGCTTCCTGTGATGGGCTCGTGGACAGCCAGAAGGCAACTTACTGAGGGTTTTAACGAGCCCATAACGTGCCTTGCTTGCCTATTAACCATTCAGTTGTTATTCATAAACAGAACCTGAATAAAATGGAGCAGAGAAGAGGGGAGGATGCTCCTGCAGCCCCATCCACCACCTCCACTGCTGCAGCTCTCTGATTTCTTTCTCCTGTCTCCGTGGCTGTACTGCAGCAAGCCTGGCTCCCAGCCAGAGCTCCTGGTCCTGCCAGCCTGGAGATCAGGGGCTCCTTTCATTTATGTTTTTCCCTTGAAGGTATTTATAGATTGCAAATGTGCCACTCAGAGTCTTTTCCAGACGATATAAATTTACCTGTTTCAGTCTCTCCTGGGATGACTTGGCCACTAACTCACCTGCCACTGCTGGTGCTGATTTTCCCCCTTGGCCAGACTCCACTGCAGGGAAGGGCTGGCCAGGGGGCTGCCCTGTGCAGGGGAGGGCTGAGGTCTGTCTGTGGGGATCCTGCCCACAGGACCTGTTTCTGTGACTGCCTTGGGCTCTCCAGGCTGAAGGGCAGCACAGGCAGAGGCGATGCCATGGGACCTGTCCCAGTGCCCCTGTGGCTCTTGGCTGGTCCCCACAGGGTGACTGGGGGGGGGTCTTCCATTCCTACCCTCTACCACTGACAGGCACCTTTGGAGTACTCAGCTCCAAATTCACCCTGCTCCCACCATCCCATGTCAAATCACCAATGCAGATCAGAATCAGAATCCCAGAAGGGTTTGGGTTGGAAGTGACCTTAAAGCTCATCATGTCCCATGGGCAGGGACACCTTCCTCTATCCCAGGGTGCTCCCAGCCCCATCCAGCCTGGCCTTGGGCACTGCCAGGGATCCAGGGGCAGCCACAGCTTCTCTGGGCACCCTGTGCCAGGGCCTGCCCACCCTCACAGGGAACAATTCCTTCCCAATATCCCATCCATCCCTGCCCTCTGGCAGTGGGAGCCATTCCCTGTGTCCTGCCCCTCCATCCCTTGTCCCCAGTCCCTCTCCAGCTCTCCTGGAGCCCCTTTGGGCCCTGAAAGGGCTCTGAGCTATCTCTGGAGCCTTGTCTTCTCATGCCTGGACACCCCCAGCTCTCCCAGCCTGGCTCCAGGGCAGAGATGTGCACATTTTCTCATCTTCATTTCTTTTCACCGAGCACCATCTCAGTCTGTGTCCCCACATGGGCATTTCTTCCCCTGTGGGCTGGGTTTCATTCTGTTGTTTCCTTTCTCATATTTCTAATGTGCTTTTGTTTTCCTCTGGCCTCTCTGGAGGGAGTACCAGGTGCCTCCCAATTCAGTATCTTCTGCAAATTGAATTTGCTCGGGTGATGGAAGAAAACAAATTTCAACCAGGAAAGAGATATTTTGATCCAAGTTTCAAAGGGGTTATTACAGTCAGCACTGAAAACCAGTGATTAAAGAATGAACAAAAAATAGAATACCTGCAGTGAGTCCTTTTAACACTGAAGAGGGAGGGAAGAACTTTTCTAAGGAGACATTCTTCAGGGAAATAGCATTTCTCTGACTCCATCGATTGCTTCCCAGCTAAGAGTACACACAAGCAAATAAGAGAGGACAGTCTGGGATTTGTCAGCTCCTAAACAATGCTGGGGCTTTGTTTTGGTTTTCATGTCTTAATGTTTTTTCTTCTGCTGCTCAGGTTTCTGAAGGAAACCTGCCACAACTGGGACGGCACACCTGTGCCTCTTGCTGGGCTCTCGGTGGGATGCTCAGCTGTCTCCTTCTGCACAAGGGGCTTTACCCAGCAGTTCCATCCCTTTTTTCCATGAATCCTGTTTCTGGCTGGGCTGCCAGGCTATTGGAGCCCCCAAAGAGCTCCCCATGCTCCCAGTGAGAGCACAGCAAACCCCACAGGGTGTCAGTCTGTGGAGAGCATTGCTAACATCCCTGCTCACGAGCACTTCATCCCTGCCCACGCTCCCCTGAACCAACACCTCCCTCTGTCTGCCCTACAAGAGCTCGTAATCCTTCAACACCCCGCATGTGGTGAACAAACTACTGACTTCCCAGCCCTGGCAAAGCTGTAGGACTCAACAAAATCTTCTTTAGAAAGGTCTCCATCAGGCCACAGCTCCTTACAGCAGCACAGGACTCCTGGGGGTTAGCAGGGGCTGCTGGGGGTCTCTGGGCT